TATTGCCACTTTTCACACTCCATGTGCTCTCACCAGAATCACTCCCAGACAATCAAAAGGCATTGATATGTGTTGTTTTTTTTCTTTCTCCCTCTCTTCTAACAGACTCCATTCATGTCTGCTCTCTTCTTACAGTGCCCGTCATTCTTCAGACATCGCCGGTGCCAAGGCAGTAGGATTGCTGCCTCTCTCTGATGGGAAACTGTTGCTCATGTGCTGGGTTGGCTGCCAAGTTTTGGCATTATTGGTGAGGGGAAGAGGGGGAGGAAGAGAGGGCAGGAGGGGGTGGGGGGTGTACAGAAAGGGGGCCCTTTAAACCCTGTGAGATAGTGGTATCTGTTGTGGGAATGATCTTCATCCCTTTCCCCCCTTTTCTTAGCACTCTCGCTGTTTCTGTTTCTCTCACTCTCTTCGTCTTTCCCTCTTGTCTCATCCCCGTTCTCCCCCCTCCTCCCTCCCCTCCCTGCTCTCTGTCTCTGTCTTTTCATGCTGTAGATCAGACGACCATCCTGAGGTGAGCCGGCGGAGATCCGATGCCACTGGAGCACTTTGATTACCCACCAGACTGAATGACTGTTGGATTTCTCACAGCTTGTGTACTTCTTTGGCATTGCTCCCAAACCTCGACTGTAACTCTCCTTCACACACACACACACACACACACACACACACACACACACACACACAAACACACCACACTATAGTAAATGAAAGAAGATTTGCTGTTGTACTCCAGAAGCTTAGCTAACAGTCTAAGCCTGACTTTAGTGCTCCTACGGGTGCAAAGATCAAATCAGCACTTATAGGTCCCTCTTTAGGCTACAGCACTGGTTTTGCAATATTTTTGGTTTGTGACCACTTAAAAGAATATTTCAACATTTTGGGAAATATGCTTGTTTGCTTTGTTGCAGAGAGCTTGATGAGAAGATTGATACCACTCTCTTATCTATCCATTAGATATGAAGCTATACAGCCAGGCTGGCATAGCAGTATTGGAAACAACTAGTCTGACTCTGTCCAAAGGTGACAAAATCCACCCACCAGCACCTCTAGAGCTCACTAATGAACATGTCATATCTTGTGTATTAAAACTGACACACTGAAAACAACAATGTGCTGTTTTCAGTGGTACAGTGTGCCAGACTACGTCTTGGCTATAGCAAGAATATGGCGAGCTTGCCTTCTCCCCCTGTTTCCTGTCTTTGTGCTAAGGTCAGCTAATGAGCTGCTGGCTGTAGAAAGCAAATGAGTTTATTTGCAAGAATGATGAACTATTGTTAAACAATGACTGGCCACAGGTTTTAGCTTCTGTGTGGACATTAGTTTGGAACAGTTTTCCTTTTCTTGTCTTTCTCAGAGGTGAAAGTCGCCTCTTTAGGCCTAGAAAAATTATTTAACAAGTAAAAAGCAAATTTTGGAAAAAAAAAAGAATGCCAGAAAAACTAAAACTCTTTGTATTAAATCTAATTGTATTAAAACAATAAAAGAATAACTGTTAAGTACAGCCAGAATTTTAATCTGTTTCTAATAAAAATCGGCAGCAAAAGGCAGGTTGCTGCACTAGAATGAAGAAAAATGAAATGTGATGTTAGAAAATATTTCAAACGAATTGATTTACATCAGACATATTCTCAGTGCAATGGCAGATTTCACTTGTTTTAAGAACACAAGACTTGAAGGACTCAAGTTACAAGTTGATAAAAATAATATCACTGCAGTGATCATGTGACCCCTGAAATGTGTCTTGGGAACCCCCTGGGGTTGTTGTGACCCCCAGTGTGTGAACCAGTGAGCTACAGTTTGTGTGTGCGTGTTCTAAAAGGAACACATACGCTCATGTACATACTGTATGTACACTAACACAGAGTCTGAGCAAAATGCACAAACTGTAAACCACAGCACACAGAAAACACATTTAGTATTTATTCATAATGTTTCTAATAATGTGATGCTAAAAACATTTCACACAATTAAATATTTCACCTTGATCAGTAGAATCATTTTGCCAAAATGATTTAGTATGTCTGTTGTAATTTGTAATCCGTAACTTTAAAGTTGCATTGCAGAAATTACGCTTTGGTTTCTGTCAGTTTTTTTGCCAGCGGTAGATAAAATATTTAGGTCTTTTACTTGACTAAATGTAGCTATAACACAAAGTGAAGTACTCCACAACAAATAAAAGTTCTCCAACAAAATGTACTTAAAGTATCCAGAGTAAAGGTACTCGTCATGTAAAATGACCCCATAGTTATGTATTATAACATTTCATTATTATTATTGATGCCTTAATATAAAAGCAAAATCCCCTTCAGAAACTTTAAGATACAATACGCTACAAAATGCTATGAAACGATACGATACGATACGATACGATACGATACGATACGATAGGACATGAAGAGATGCATAACTATCTTAAACAAAAACTTCGAAGGACTACAATACTACATATATTATAAGCATCTGCAACAAACAAATAACGCATGAAATAACTAAATAGAAATATATAAAGATAAATGGCACTATGTACAACATATACCAACATACGCAGTGACTGTAAAGTGTATTGAGGCAAAAGTAGTCAAATTGCACTTGAATGAATGAAACTGGGCGGTGGGCAAAGTGTGTTGTGTCTGCAGACAAACGTTTTAGCAGCTTAAAATAGTTATTTATATGTAAAAGATTTCTAATACAATTATATCTGCCTTTTTTAAGGGATGAAATTTTAAAGTCTTGAACTGGATGAGGAAACTTGTCTTCTCTTCATAAACTTGCCTGACTTCATGTTCATCAAAGTAAAAGTATAAGATCTGAGTGCAATTGTGTTTCTCTTTGACATTCCAGTGATGAATAATTTTTCAAAAGAGCGGATTGTTAATGTTCAGCATGTGGTATTAATGTGAAAGATAAACATTCTCCAACTGAAGCTTTACCACTGTGGCTCAGTTTACATGACAATAAACGGTGTGGAGTCCTTTTTCTATCGCTGCTCAATTTATTATTATTCATGTGATGTGCTGTGGCTAAATCTTTCTCATCTGGCTGCACATGAGTCTTTTTTTTTCCTGTTTAGAGTCAGGATTTAAACCAATATTGGGGCTGTAGGGATCCAAGTATTCCTTCAAAGCCTTTTCTCTTTTATCGCATTGTCACTTTTCCATCTGCGTGGCCACTGTTTTTCCAATTCTTTCATTTGCCCTCTTGTTGCTTGTCTTTTTGGTCAGGGGCCGGTTAATGTGGGTTTATCCAACCATCCAGGCGATTAATGTGGGCTTATCCATGCATCCGTCATCTACCCATCCATCCAGAAGCGATTCTTGCATCCATCCTATCTGTCCATACATGTAAGCAAACTTATGAGGACACCTATAACACACCTTACTTTTTTGTCTTTTAGTCCCATGCCCAGGTACAGGAGCCTAAAATGACACAGGGGAGAAAAATGTGCAATGATTTCAGCTTTGCTTCTAAAAGAAAACCGGGAGAAAAGGTGTTTTCTTGCACTCCTGTTAGAGAGAAACTTTGATTTCATGGTGTTGATTATTTTTCTTCGCAATCACTCAAGGATGAAGCACAAGGACGCAGATATTGTTCCCCTTTCACATGCACCACAATGGGGCTCCTTGGTTTTTTTTTTAGAAAAGGAAACAACAAGGAGTTTCCCCTCCTCTCTTTCTCTTTTTTACCTCTTTTTTTTTTTTTTTTTTTTTTTTTTTTAACAATCCAACACTACACAACTCACTTAAAGAAAGACAGAAGGGGCCTGGAAGCAGTTTAATGCAGTTATTGAGATGCTGTGGTCACATACAGCAGACACAAGCTTGCCAAAAACAGTTCTCTTTCGATCAGAGTAATTCCTTATTCTGTGGGATGCAAGGAGCCTTTAACTGGTCCCAATATGGCTCTCCTTCACAAAGTGAGGAAAAAAAGTTCAAAGACTTAAGAGCAGGTTGATTTTTTTCTAATGGTTCATGGCAATGAAATGTTGCTCGCTATGTTCTCTCTTCCCCTGCATAACATCCCTTCTTAATCCTGATGAATAGTTAGACTCATTTGCCTAAATATATGGAAATAGTAAAACTTCAGAAGGGCACAACTTTTATCCTGTTGTTACACTTTCTTCTGTAACTCTTGGAGATCCTGGAAATTTGAGTTTTTTATTCGAAACGTCTCACAATTACTTTTGATTCCTTCAGTATCAAACTATGTAGATTCTATAGTGCCCGTGTGAAAGTCTTTATTTACTTATTTAACTTCATCAGCTACAAATATAAATGAAACGTCAGATTTGAATTTTAAGGAAGGGGGACTCTTGGATGAATCAATGGTTTTGTTAAGTGCAGGTTTGTTTAAGTCAGGAGCGGGTGGCCCAGTGAGAATCAGGCTCATGTCTGCCCCCTGGAACCTGCTGTGTCACCCATTAAACCCACAGATCAGCCCTTAAACAGGTCTGTGGACCAGACTGAAGAAATATATATATATATATATATTTTAGCTGTATAGCATTTTCTTTATAGCTGGTAGTACTCCACAAATACTTGGCCTTTTTGCACCTTTTGGTAAAGCTTGAGCCTGGTTTTCTCTTTCCAAATGTTTCCACTTTCCTGTTGTAAAATCACTCTGGTGATACATTTACAAGACAACTTTTGTTTTGTTTTATGTCATAAAAAGATATAAAGCTCTGGTACAGCTGGTAACTCCTTTTCTGTTTATTTCTACTCACTAGGTAAAAATTACTAAATTGAGTTGTACTTTTGCGTGTTTTCTCTCCTCATCTTATTATAATTTCTTTTTCAAACACTGATTTCTTGCAGGAAGGCAACAGGGTCGTAGCTGATGATGTGGTGGTGATCTTTACGCCCTGAGAGCGTCACTTAACGTAAGTAATGACAAAACAAGCTGAATTTTAGTCAGAAATATTTATTCACAACATGTACAAGATCTGTTTCCATCATTCACAATCATATAAATAAAAATACAACCAAACAAAGCAGACGTATTTACATGGCGTGTTGCGCACTGTGCAAACTAAATGTGTTTGCGTGCGTGTGACCGATGAAGTTGAAGTAGTGGTGATCGAGTCCCTGCACCGGTGACAAGTATCCACCGTGCTGTTGTGTGTGCGCAGAGAGCGGCACTGTTGGGTACGAGATGCCCGGGCTGCGGGCCGAGCTGTGCCAGGAGAAGTGTCCCGGTGGACTCTGCTGGTACACGGAGTCAGATGGACTGTGGCTTTGGTGCTCCGGGGAGGAGTGCAGCTGACCTAGGTAGTCAGACGGTTCCGGCATCGAGCCGACAGAGCCGAACACAGGCTCGGTGACCACACGGGACTTGGACTGTAGGAAAGCGAGGATCCGTGCGTACTTGATGTCTTTGGTTTCAGCTCTGTCCTCTGTGGTCAGGTAGTGCACCAGGTTCTTCATACACTCGTGGTATCCGTAGTGGAAGTAGTTTGCAAACTCAGCAAGAAGTTCACCTAGAATGAATCACAGTAAGCAGCGATTACAACTCTGCCAGGATGACCTGATAAACGAGTCTGACACAAAGTGTTTGGTCTGATCCCGGTGCGTAAAAGTGAACTAACTAAAACTAGGCTACTTAACTAAAAGGCAGTTTAAATAAAATTACCCACATATACAAATAACCCAGATTTATCTGATACCAGCGTGATTTCACTGACAGAAGATTGGTGATGGGATGCGCAAAATAAAAGAGCTGCGTGAAAAGTTTACTGACCTTTTTCTCTCCCACGGGGGAAATCCGCTGAGTGGAGCGCTCGCAGATACTGAACCGTCATTTCTAGGATTTCAGCCTTCTCCAGCTTTCCAGAGTTCTACCAAAACATAAAAAAAATCCAACATTATAAGATGTTTGACTACAAATATTAACAATGACCAGAATCGCTAGTAAACATACACCGATAGATTTGTTCTTGCAAAATTATCAATATTGGATAAAAATGATGAAGACCGTATACAAATATGAGACATTTTACAATACCTGTTTTGCCAGTGCCATCGGTACTGTTTTCCCTAGTTCGTTTAGGCAGCGGTTGATGCGGTCCCGTCTTCGTTTCTCAATGACTTTGTGAGAGATGGGAGTTCTCTGTAAAAACACAGAGATAAAACATGACCACATGGAATCACTGTAGTACTTCTCATCTCACTTACACTTATTTTATCCACCAGTAACACACCAAAGTTAAGTGGAGTCACTAATTATGGAGCGACGAAATAGTTTGGAAACTTATGGATGAGGTCTATACACTAACTGCGATTTTTGCGCACCGCGCGCTGTGCTGCTCCAGAGCGCGCAGCGGACATCTGCGCACCGGACAGTTTGTTTAACGCTGAGGCCCCGATAGACATAGCTTACATATCATTAGGGAATTTAACACATTGTAAGTGTTTGTAACGTTATTAACTACATAACATGTCACCAAATTTTGCGTAAATGTCAGCTGGGCTCTTTTACATCAATAGAGCGGCTTGAACTCTTGCCACAAGCTGGTGCACAGTTGATATCTCTTCCACTAGCGTAAAAATGACTCCAAATGGTAGTTCGAAAATATTTCTTGAAAATAGTGAAGTACAAAATTCCAAAATGTAACTCAAAAGTGTTAAAACTGTCATGTTGCCAAAATATTTCAGTCCCCAAAATGCTGGGCGCACAAAGAGCGCGTACCTTCCTGTCTTTCATCTTAGATGCCATCGACGAATTTCTGACAAACGTCTAAAAAATGAGTTCAGCTGGAAGTTGGAGAGATGTGTTCCTCTGGCAGGAGATGAAGCAGACTGAAGTTTGAGGGGAAAGCTGGCCCTTATAAAGGGACCATCTAAGGGACTCCGGCATTCATGGTGTAAATTATTCCATGGGATTAGAACCATGCATTGGGTAAATGTGTGCATTTAGGATCAGTTAAAGAAATAGTAAAAATCCAAAGCCATGGGCTAGCAGGGGGGCAAACCTGCTTTGTTAATCCACGTGGCTGTTCAAAAGACACGTGATTACTTTCGGAATATTATTTGCATAGTAACAACCCAGGCGGGAAATAAGAACTGAGCGTTGGGATCGCCTGATCCGGCGGGGCGCACTGTGCGCACTGAAAACAAAGCCGGCGAAAAAAGAAACCCTCTTTCTTCCAACTCGCGTTTCTCACACGATCGCCTGTTTACAAATCCCAGCAAGCGATCTTAACTCTCATCCAAGCCCGGTCCGAGTTTTAAGGCCTGTCCAGTGTCATTAGAGTAATTAAGTAAGCCTTTAATAGGCTGTTCCGCCAAGTTCAGGGGAGATCTTTTGGAGACTGAGTCCCCCCCGTTTGTTCTCGGCGTTTCTCACACGACTTGGTGACACGTCCATCTTTTATGAGAGATGGCAAGCTTTTTGTTTACATTCTTTATTTTGTTGGACTCCTCGGCAGGTGTGTGATTAGCCCTGGCACACGAGCGTCGTCTGCGTCAAGGCCAGCGTCTCCAGCAGCCTCTGGCACACGAGGGTTACCCACCACTGGAGACTCTTTGGAGAGGCTCAATTTGTATCCTATTATCCTATAAGAAAATGTCTATTCAGTCGAATGAATAGTTTCATTGGCCTAAATTTTAATAATGCTGTGAAAGAAAGGGAGAAATAAAGAAGAATGCAGCTGGTGTGAACGCGCATTATTCCCCGTCACCTGCAAGATGGGTAGCCTGGAGACCCCTATTCATTTGCCTAATTTCGGTCAACTTAACAAACTTTGGGAGAAATTATACTGCCATTGTTATGAAGGGTGAAGCTTTCTGATCGAATTAACAGCATGTTTTGATCCGGTAAATGTCATTAGAAAGAAAGAAACAATCGCGTTTAAAGGGGCCTGGGTAATGCGCCAAGTGGAGACGCCAAAGCGCAAAGTGCACAAAGGGTGCTGGTAAATGCCACAGGGGACTTTTGTACCCTCACATTGCTGAAGTTTTTCCCCCCAAACAAAGGGCATTATTTTATACTTGAATACATTTCATACAACAATTGGCTGTTTTCTTCAAACATATTTTCACAGCAAGGTTAACAACAGGTTTATTGTGTGCGCTCCTTCTCACAGATTCACACTGCTCTCATGCGCCAAAACAGTTTGCTCCGATTCTTTTTTTCTTTTTCTTTTTTCACTGAGAACGTTTTAATCTCGAAACTTTCAACGTGCTTGGATATATTTGATCCTGTGAGAGATGTCGAAGAATAAAAAGCAGCGGAGATTGAGAAAGAAAAGCTCACAAGACATCTGAGGCGTTTGGAGAGTTTTTAGAGCACCATGGAGAGAAAAGCGCGAGCGAGCGGGACGGGGGCATAAAATCCAATTACTTGACTGTGCAGTTTTTAACACTTTTTATGTGTTTGTCCTTTGAAATATGGTGGGACTTGCGTGCTGTTGCTTTTTATAAACTAAGTGAATTAAATACTGGAAGTTTTTGCTGACCGATTTTGTAACGCCAAGTGTTGCGTCAGAACCAAACCAAATGATGCGCAGGACTTTTCTTTACAACAGTTATTGCGCTACTTTGATGTGAAATTTGTATTTCCGTGTTAATTTAATGGTCTGACAACTATCTGATATATCAAATCAACATGTAATATGTTTCTATTTTGAAGTTTTTCTTTGTAAAATATTTGCCAAATCACTGCGTTTCCACCTTTTTACCTCACTATATTTTGTACAGTTTTAGCAACCTCTGTGACTTGGTGCCATTATTGTTGTGATTTAAACACATCTTTTCGCCTGGTAGCTGTTTTATGAGCAAAATTATTCCTAGAATTGAAACACAAGTTTATTTTAAATGCTGTAGTTTGTCTGAATTAGTCAGAGTGGCTGCAGTCTCTGCGCAGGTCAAGTAAGCACATTCATTCTGAAATGATTTTGAACGTATGACAACGTTTTGATTGTATTTATCATAATGACTCTAATGTGCAGTACAAAGGGAGATCTGGTGGCATGATGAGTCACTGTTGGACTCTTAGCCTGATGAGAAAAGGTGATATTACATCTGCTGTCCACAGCACCTGACTGAACATAATCAGGACAGGGATTCCTCTCACTTTCTGTTCTGGCATTTTAACGCACTGTTTACTCTCTGTGACAAAGTAGCCTACTACACATTCAGCTCAAATCATCCCTATATTATCAGTGCATGATGTCACTTAGGTTTGTTAATGTCGGTCTAAAAAGATGAAGCAGCAATGATGCATCCATGCTAAGTTCATTTTGTACTGAAAACTTAGAATAAGAACATGTACACGTGAAAATGTACAGATGAAGTGAAATCAGTGGGGTGTCAGCAGTGAGATTCATTCCCGCGTGAAACTACCATTGTACAAAACAGACTGCATTTAGGAATATATTTGGCAAATATGTGCAATAACTGTAGACGTGTTCACTGTTTCAGTGGGGTTTAAATGTGTGTGGTTCTATTGCTATGGTTTATTGTTTGAATGGTGTCTGTTGCCTATTGCAAGGTCCCCAATGCACAAATTCGCAGGCACGTCTGAATAAATATTTATTTCGTGTTCTCGGTAGAACATGTCAGTAAGTTGTCTGACTGATGTGTCTGCGGTTTTTAATTCGTGGGGGCGTTAGTCTACTGTTCGTTTCCATGATGTCCAGTGTTATCAGTATAACATCTGTACACCAGCCCGTTACAGGAAAACATAAGCAAGCCTCCAGCCATGAAGCCTAATTAGTGACAGCAGCTCTGTGTGCAGCGGCGGCAGCAGCAGCAGCAGCAGCAGCAACAGCAGCAGCAGAGTCTGTGTGTGTGTTGTCAGGCGCTGCGCTCTGACCCGTGGTGACCTCTGAGGTTCCCCGACACAATCCTTTGGCTTGGTGCGCCACCCTCAGCCTGAACTGCAGCAGTTCACACGGTCCCCATTGAGCCCGTGGAAATGATCTAAGCTGAGTTCAGACTACATGGTTCAGCAGCTACAGGCTCCTTTGAGAAACAAACAGCAGCCATTTAAGCAAAGATTTCAAACATGCGAGCAAATGTGTTTTATATTCATCTCACGGAATGTGCAGTTATATTAACAGCATCACAGTGATTGTCCAGAAGGTAAATCACTATAAAATATATCTTATGTATAAAATAAACTTAAATCTTTACAGGATTATCACTGTGATATTGTTTTTTTGGGAGCTGAACCATAAATAAAGTCAGATAAAGTCACCATTTATCACTATAGACGCTGCCTGGGATAATGATTTACCTTATCAGTCACTTGAAAGATTTCTTTAAAGACACAATTTTACCACTGAATCGTGATAACCTCATGTTCAACAGGGCTTTTACCTATACTGTCATTTTTTTGAAAAGAAAAAAACAGATTTGTAGAAAGGACTCAGCTCCCTTTTAAGTGCGAAACTGTAAAATGGCTCCCTCTTGTGGCACGTTTAGGAAACTGCAGTGGTCTGCATGTTGACTGGAAAGCAGAGAGAAGAGAAATAAATAAAAACATGTATGAACAGACTTCATCAAAATATTATGTCCTTCATAAAAAAAACTTTATTTACGTTACAGAAATATTTATGGAGATATTGTTGATGGATTCTGTGTGACAGACAGCTAAGTGTATCCTGTATCAGGGAAAATAGATGTAGTAATATTATGTCAGACTCAATAATCGATAGTCGCTGTAAACTCATAATTAAGTATCAGAGAACTAATTATTCTATAAGTAATATCAAAAAGATACAACAATATGAGTCCTGTTCTGTATCACATGAAAATATAAGTTTTGGGTTGTAGCCTGCACTAAAGTTTTGTGGCCTCCGGTAATTTTTGTCTAAATTCAGAGGGGCTTGTGCTTGATGTAGAGTTACAGACTGCGGATGTGTGGTCTTTTGCAGATGAACTCCCTGATTTGTCACAACTGAAATGTATAGTTTCCCCTGAGGAAAAAAAACAAAAAACAAAAACCCTCTGTTTTCCAAATAACTGGAAACAGATAATATGGTTCTTTCCAGGAATCGTTTTATGAAACCATGAGGGAATAATGGACTCATGAAATGAAGCTTACTAACATGAAAATCAAAAATGCTCTTTCCATCCTGACATAAATAAAAAAAAAATAAAATTCGGAATGATAAAAACCAAATCCTTTATTTATTTTATTGGTCCAAAACCTAACATTTACAATCCTATGTAATCCTAAACAATGCTTCATATTTATACTCATTCTTTGTTTATTGTTTTGTGTGTAAAATCTTAAACCACAAGTAGTTGACTATCAAATAAATGTAGGATAATGTAATAAAAAGCAACATATTTTTCACTGGAATGTAGAAGCATATGTAATGAATATAATGTAAATGTAACATATAAAGTTGCATAAATGTAAATACACATGTAAAGCACCTCTAACACAAGGCAACATTTGACAATCATTAGACTCATCAACTTCTCCACAGTGGATATTTTACTTCTGTCTCTATTTTGTCTTTGCCCTGACTCTGTATCACCAGAGGCTTTAGTGATGTAGGTCATCTAGAGTCGTGACCTCCCTCTGCCTCTTTGTTTGTATTACTATTAATTCTCTTTTATGGGATTATTCTCCAGTCTTTTGTTGTTGCTGATTGGCCGGTTGTCTTTTGCTTCTTGTATACATGCCTACATGGGTCTCTGTAGTCAGTGCATCTCTGAATATCACTACTAAACTAATTTTTTAAAAAAAAGTTGCATGTGGCC